CCCCAAAACCCCAAAACCCCAAAACCCCAAAACCCCAAATATTCCGGAAGTATTGAATAATATAAATATTTTTGAATCAGAATCAAGATGTTTTCAAGGACATTTGTAAAAAATTTCAGAAATATCAGAGTAAAGAACCTTCAGTTTCTAATTTAAGCTCTTCTAAGGTGTTTAGCATTTAAGTTTAAATTTATTTGATTCCTTTAACAGCTGTATATAGCTGGGTCTCGGTCTCAGGAACATGCATACTTGCCACAGACGGAATATACATAGGCACAAAGGCATACCACAGCCATTGTTTAACTATTTTTCGAAGAGGACTTTCTGGGGCCAAACTCCTCCACCAGATTTTGATGTTGATATGGACTACTATAAAATTCTTGGAGTCAGCAAGACTGCTTCCCAAGCAGATATCAAGAAAAAGTAAGTTTAGGACCTTAAAATAGGTATTTTGAATATGTAAAGGCGATGCATCCAGATCGTAACCCAAATGCTGACCAAGACAAGTTCAAGGAGCTGACATCAGCCTATAATCTCCTATCTAATGAGAAGAAGAGGAAGCAGTATGATGAATATAGAGACCTTTCAGGATATGGAAATTCCAAGTCTCGCTCTTCCAGCTATGGAAGCACCCAAAACCCTTATGGAGATGGATTCAATCCCTTTGGCAAGGGTGGTCATTACAACCAACAACATGGAAATAATAGGCAGGATAATAGATATCAATACAAGTCTACAGCTAAGACTCCTGAGGAAATGAGGAAAGAATTTGAGGAGTTCTTTAAATAAAGCTGCTAATGCGTTCAGGCAAAATCAAGGTCAAAATCGAGGCAACTCTCAAAATAACCATGGTTATAATCAGTATTCGCAAAAATTTTGGGAGCAATATGAGAAACAGAGGCAACAGTAACTTTCTCTAAAATCTTTAGACAACAGCAGTATCAACAAAACTCTCAGAAACAGTATGGGGATCCCAGGGAACAATTTAATCAGAAATTTAGACAACATGGGGTTCCTGTAAATTTTACAGTAATTTTTCATAGCCAGCAGGAGTGATGATTATGAGATTCATGAGAAACTTTTTGATAATCTACTTTGCCCTTTACTTCATCAAAGCAATATTCCTAAATCCTCACAGAGGTAGGTGATAAGCGTTTGATCTGTACAGCAAGGAGGGAATCTTTGGAAGATATGTATCATCACCAAATTATGCAAGATTCGTATGAAAAGAATGTGAAAAATGCAATGCAAGCATCTACATATAATCAAGCTCAGGTATATCCCAAAGAAAGAGCACCTCCTGGGGGATTGCCTCAAAGATCTCAGCAGCCTATCTCTGAGTATCCACCTAGAAATGCTGCATTCAATTACCAAAGAAATCAAGGTACGTCACTTGTGCTTCATGAATAAAAAATATAGGCCAAAGATTCTACAATCCGCACGAAGATCCCAGGAATAGGTAAATCCGGAGTAATTTCAAAATTCAGGGTTAAAATAGGGGTTTTGGGGTTTTGGGGTTTTGGGGTTTTGGGG